GAACAATTTGTTTAAATTCATTTAGGAACTCCCGAAGACTGAAACCACTTCTGGAACTAACTTGGGCAAGTGCCACGTGTGCAGTCGGTCAAAACTTTACCCCTGTGGAGTTTCGGCTGTATCATTGGTATCTGAGCGCTATTTGGACAACTTGGCTGCTCATATCCGAGTTGTGTTTGCTTTATTTTGAAAGTGAGAATTGGTGAAGGCAAACTCGCTTATCTCTGATGCCGATGCATGGTTTTTTTTTTCCCTTTATTTTTGCTAGAGACCCCATGCTGGGTGTCTGTATAAAAGCAGGTAATATGGCTATAATCCTTCCTGTTGTACCCTTCATCAAATCTCAACTGATTGGGTATGCAGCAACTGAGAGCATTAATCACATGCAGGATTCTGGGAGATTTTGCATTAACGTATCACGGAGGATCCAGGAGGTTTGTTGCAAGAGGGGAAGGTCTAGTAAAGGACTATTCCAAGCTCTGTAACAAGTGGTTATGGTTCCAACCGGCCCTGGCACGGTCCTATTTTATACAATCTCTTCAATCAGACTCCTTACCGGAGGTGTTCCTTTATTTACGTCTACTGCTGGAGATTAGGAAGCTTCTCTAGGGGAGCATTTTTATAGCACACTTGTACATCTGAGGAGTCTTGTCTCGTCAAGTCCATGGTTAGACAGTAAATACATGCATTACCTATAAACACCTCACACATTCATAAAACCTTAACCTTCCACAACAATATAAAATTTTGCAGATAAGAATAGGGCTCAAATAAAAGGAAACACTCAATTGTCTGACACTTAAAATGTTACCCAATTTCATAGCAAGACTGGATAAATATATAGCAAAGTGCATTATAATATTTGGTGAAAGCTGACATTCCATAATATTTTACGTCTTCACATATGGTCTATACCATCGTGCAGGAATTTGATTCTTAGTGACTGCATAGATACTCATGCAGTAAAGGTACATGCTGGGGTTAAATCCTTGCCTGTATAAGAAACACCCAGTTAAAGGAACAATCTAATCACCATAACCACTCCAGCACTGTTTTGGTCCCATGGAGCACTCTTGGATTAAGTAGTCAGTTTAACCCCTTAAGGACCAAACTTCTGGAATAAAGGAAATCATGACATGTCATGTGTCCTTAGGGGGTTAAGTAATGTTTTTACAGATTGCCTTGGGACTGCTGGATTAGGGGCAGTAGTGGAGTGTACTGTGAGGAGTGTAGAGGGGGCAGATTTGAAGCAATTTCTTTAAAACAGATATAGGGACTGTCCATGTCACACTTTTTTCTTTTTTTTTTCTTTTTTTTAGGCTGTGTAACTATAGCGTAACACCAATGGAGGGGGGGGGGGGAGATGCTGATTCAATAGGGCCAAACGTAAAGCCTTTTCTTCGTCAGTCCTTGCTTCGGTCTCAAATTAAACTCTGTTGTACAAATAAAGTCCTTCAAGACACAGAGTAAAGGATCATGTCTGAATTAGGGAAGCACTGACACCATACCAAAGGGATAGAAAAGTAAAAAGCTCAATTAATACCAGATCAATAGTGATGTCGCGAATAGAAAATTTTTGGTTCGCGAACGGGCGAACCGCCATAGACTTCAATAGGCAGGCGAATTTTAAAACCCACAGGGACTCTTTCTGGTCACAATAGTGATGGAAAAGTTGTTTCAAGGGGACTAACACCTGGACTGTGGCATGCTGGAGGGGGATCCATGGCAAAACTCCCATGGAAAATTACATAGTTGATGCAGAGTCTGGTTTTAATCCATAAAGGGCATAAATCACCTAACATTCCTAAATTGTTTGGAATAACGTGCTTTAAAACAGCAGGTATGATGTTGTATCGATCAGGTAGTGTAAGGGTTACGCCCGCTTCACAGTGACAGGCCAAACTCCACGTTTAACGCACCACAAACAACCGCAAACAGTCCATTTGCACAAGGTTGGATACCAAGCTAGCCATGTCCCGTTCCTTGTCCCACTGATGTCATTGAAGGTCTCTTCCTCCACCCAGCCACGTACAACACCAATGGTCCCCAAAAGGTGACAACAAGCCCCCTGGGACGCCTGCTGTGTTTGGTCTTCCACCTCCTCAAAGCCACCTTCCTCCTCTGACTCCTCTTCTTCAGACTCCTCTCTCTGCATTATTATAAGGTGTGTTAAGTAGTACTATTCCTATCAGTTTAATCCCTGTTACGTCTCCTATCAGGGGACGTGTATATGGCATCGATTTTTAGGAACCGGGAGATGGAAAAAGATGCTTGGTCGGTCCTCCTTCAAATTTGGGGCACTGCGCGTGCAATCTAATGTGCCACCAGATAGGAGTGGTGTGTTAAGTAGTACTATTCTTATCAGTTTAATCCCAATCTCACGACTACAAGTGTGGTCCAGCACGCAGAAACTATGTAAACATATACATAGGCAAGAAAAGGAAAATAAAAAGACAGAGCGTAAACCGGACCTTAGAATGTCCGGACTAATACGCTAGAGACAGAGAATGGTCAAAGGGAAAGCTGAGGTCAAGGAAGCCAGAAAATACAAAATACCGTTTACACAAGCCAAGTTAGGGAAACCAGAATTCAGAATAACCAGGGAAAAGCCAAGCTCAGGATACCAGGAAATCAGATTCACAATGATAAAGCAATCTCAGGAAACCAGGAACAGGAAACCACGACAGGGCAAGGTACTGGGGTGAGCTAGGGATTTAAATATCACGCAGCGGGCCGGCAGCCGCGACACCCTGTTACGTCCCCCTAATCAGGCCTTTTTTAGTCGAATGTATCACCCACTGTCAGTCCCTTCAGGATCCATCCCTCATTCATCTTAATAAAGGTGAGGTAATCTAGACTTTTTTGACCTAGGCGACTTCTCTTCTCAGTGACAATACCTCCTGCTGCACTGAAGGTCCTTTCTGACAGGACACTTGAAGCGGGGCAGGCCAGAAGTTCTATCGCAAATTGGGATAGCTGAGGCCACAGGTCAAGCCTGCACACCCAATAGTCAAGGGGTTCATCGCTCCTCAGAGTGTCGATATCTGCAGTTAAGGCGAGGTAGTCTGCTACCTGTCGGTCGAGTCGTTCTCTGAGGGTGGACCCCGAAGGGCTGTGGCGATGCGTAGGACTTAAAAAGCTCTGCATGTCCTCCATCAACAACACATCTGTAAAGCGTCCTGTCCTTGCCAACGTGGAAGTGGGAGGAGGAGGATTACTTTCACCTCTTCCCCTGTTAGATTCCCATTGTGCTGTGACATCACCCTTATATGCTGTGTCAAGCATACTTTTTAATTGATTTTGGAACTGCTGCATCCTTTCCGACTTGACATAATTCGGTAACATTTCAGGCACTTTCTGCTTATACCGGGGGTCTATTAGCGTGGACCCCCAGTACAGGTCGTTCTCCTTCAGCCTTTTTATACGACACACACGCTTGCAGACAACTAACTGCTATTCAATCTATTACAGTCAAAATTGTATTTTTATTTTTTTAAATGTACACTACTGTTACACCAGATATGAGTTGCACTGGTGTGACACTGTGCCCTGGCAGGCCCTGAAACGCACACGTGTGAAGGAAACTGACTGCTATTATATTAGTCCAAAAAGTTTATTTTTTTTGTTAAATGCAAGCTATTGTGACACCGGATATGAGTGGTGGCACTGGGCAAGTGGGCACAGCATACGCTGTGAGCCTGACACACACGCTGGCAGACAACTAACTGCTATTCAATCTATTACAGTCAAAAAAATATATATTTTTTTTTTAAATGTACACTACTGCTACACCAGATATGAGTTGCACTGGTGTGACACTGTGCCCTGGCAGGCCCTGAAACGCACATGCGTGAAGGAAACTAACTGCTATTATATTACAGTCCAAAAAGTTTTGTTTTTTTAAAATGCAAACTATTGTGACACCAGTGAGTGAGTGGTGGCACTGGGCAAGTGGGCACAATATATGCTGTGAGCCTGACACACAGGCTGGCAGGCAGGCAACTGCAATTACATGGCAGGCGCACAGTCGGATTTGCCGGCATATGCGCTAACCTTACCCAAACCCCCATTAAAACACGGACACAGATTATACTGTTGGAAATAATTTGTCCACAGCTTTATTAAATTATTAATAAAATAAACATGCCCCTAGCAATGACCCCACAATAATAACAATAGATAACAATCTAAATAACATGTTAATACAGAAACTAGCCGCCCAATTTGACCACATTTCCACCAGGTTAAATTGTAAGGGTGTACCAAGACACCGCTACCCACCACATTGATTGTAGGGGTGTACCAAGACACCGCTACCCACCATATCCATTGTAGGGGTGTACCAAGACACCACCACACCCCCAGGTTCGGAGCCACCGACGGGCTCGAACCTATCAACCATGTGCAACACTGCCCAATCCACACTAAACCTCAGGATGCCCACTTTCTCCTCCATCTACCCTCCGATTTAACCAGGCCATTCCCCGCCACAGCTCAGGACTTGACACCTAAAGCACCTGAGCAACCCCCACCACACCGGAATAAGGTCTGTTGAATGCCTTCCTGAAGGCCCAATTTAAACAGATCACACCTTACATCCGAAAACGTACCCCATCCCACCTGGAGTACCCAGGGAGCTTTCCTACCAATTCATTGTGTCTCACTGTTACACCGCCCCCACATCTGATAAATACCACCTTCAATTTTTTATTAATTCATCCTCGACACCGAGCTACCACGGCCGGGTACGTAGTATGTCTCCAATGTAACCGAGGAACCATCTCGGACCGCACCACCACCACACCCGTGGCCAGCTCCCATAGCCGGTCCAGCTCCCTCTGCCTCCACCTGATCAATTCCTTTTCCGGGACCATGCCGATATCCAGAATGTCCTGGACAGTACCCCTTGTTACCTCCCGGAAAATTTTCTCCCCTAATGTCTTGCCACCAAAATCCCTGAAAACCAAAACCACTCCAGCTCCACCAATTCCAAAGGAAAGCCCAGTTGCGCTTGAATCGAAACGCGGCTCCCATCTGTGCCCCTTATATATAAGAATGGCCCACCAACCATGTCACCAAACCTGAAACTAAAGTAATTAGTGACAAGGCATAGCCCCAAACACAAACCCATACGTCCATAGCCATTAAACCAAATAGACCGGCCTGAAACAGGACTTAAACCATACTGACTCCCACCTGCCTAAACGTTTCCCTAGGTCCTCACTTAAAACCAGGCGGGGCGCCTCTGTTACCGCCATTATCCGGGAAGAATGGGTCCCAAAGTGCCCGGGATCCAAACCCAACATTGTCAAACACCTCCGAACAAACACCTGCGGGAATTGAATCGTGACAGCACCGATCTGTCCCCTTTTACCAGTAAGCCACCCGGGATGTCCGGGCAAAGCTCCAAGTAGCATGATGTGCTTAACGCCGGGCGTACCCCTGACCCCGGCAGGGAATATAGCTTTGCCAAACCTCCTTTACCAGACACATCCATTCTTGAACAACCCTACCTAATCGTTACCTTAACCGACTGAGGTTCGACAACCGAGTGTAGAACCCCCCAACACCTACCCGAAAGGCACTCACCAGCTCCCCAATCCGAATTGCCCCAAGCCTCCGAGAAGGCCACCGCAAGCAAACTCACTGCAAAAGTAGAGTAACACACCACCAGGCGTTGCGTTACCCAAGGAAACCAGCCGCCCAGCACCGACATATTTCATACCTCTCCGTAAGACCCGCGATGCCTGATGGACGTGACAACGTTCCATCACTTCCTCCCAATCCGTCAGTTTGAACCCTAACGACAATGCCGCCATGCTCCTGTACATTGCCGATGGAGCTAACGCTGAATGAACAAACGGCTTAGGAACCACAGCAAGCCCCTCCTTTGACTGGGACCCCCCAGTGAAACCAACCGCCTAGTCCCACATATCCCAAACCTTTACATAGGCAGTCCCTGTGCCCAGTGCCATAGGATTCCGTATCGATCCTCCAAGCATGGAGTCTCGAGCTGCCACATTTCCTCCAGATCGGACTGTCCATCCTCCCGCGCCCCCTGGGGCCACCATTCACAGCTTGTCCCCTTGTGCGCGAGCCAAGTAACCAGCCCCTACCACGTGGCGTGCCTGCACCCGATACCTGAACAGTGATACGAATCGCCGCCATCGGCGTACCTCCTGAACCGAGGACCCGGCTGGATGGTAAACCACATGAACCCTGCCGTATTGTGCGTGAATTATGACTTTTCATCCCTTAATCCTTCACCTTTTAGAGCCACAGCCACTCCCAATGGAAATAACTCAAAAGATACCAACTTCGAATCATGCCTCCCGCCACCGCTCCACGCACCACCTGCCTTCCAGGTATGCCCCGGAATCTATGTTCCCAGAGGCATCCGTGAACAACTCGATACCACCTGCAAAGGCTCCACATGTAGCCTTTGCCATGAAATGGCTACCGACCCAGTCCTCGCGACTAACCCGACATGCAACTTGAAACTGCCTTATAAAAAACTGCGATTTCTCAGTGACCTTCTTGGACCTGCGAACCTTCAGCCTGAACTCCCGAAATGCAGTCAACTGAACCCCAGGCAATCGACACTCTTCTACCACCGAAACAATTTCCAGCCCAAGCAAAGACGTGCGGTAGGATTCCCACGACCGTAAGATATGTCCACAACGGTCCGGCCCAGCCAAGCCCATACAGCAAACTATCTTACAGATAATGTTCTAAGGAACCCCTTCCTGATTCCTCTTTCACCTCCCACTCCCAGACAGAACCAACTTCCCGAAGTAGGAACATGAAATGGAACTGCCCCTTGGCAAGTAGAGGTTACCAATAGGAACCTGCAAACATGCAACCCAAAAGATGGAAGAGCTGCCAATAATCAAACGCGTCCTGTTCCCCACGAACCTACTTGACGGCAAGGCCGAATGATGCCAACGATACAGAACAATTCTGCGTTGATGTCCTCTTTTACCGATGCCCTTTCGGGTGCGATAAGTTTTGTATCGGATGGAATTTGCTAGCCCCTTTCTAGGGGACCACCCCCCCATGGAGACACCCACAGATCCGCTAATGGCGGAGATGTAACGGACCCGCCATCCCCCCAATTGGGCTTCCTCGCAAACCAAAGTTCCCCCACGGACTTGATATTCGCCCACCATTTTTTCCTGGTCCCTCGACTTTGAATGGAATAGCTTAAACCCCCTCAACAATCCCAGCCATAAAACTATCGCCTTCATGGGAGTCTTACTGCCTTAGCCACAGCAGCAACGCACTGATCGGCCCCCGGTGCCGCTCCGAGACGCAACCGCTAAAGCCCCGCCGAGTACCCGTCCTGCCTTAGGTTTTCCTTTCTTGACGCGTCTATTGACACCGTGACTCCCACCGCCTCCGGAACACCCGTATCAAGCCTACCCGACGGTCCCCAGTTGCACTGACCTTTCTTCTGTCCAGCCAGCACCGCACCTCCTGGGGGCGCGCCGGCAGCCCCCGGAAAGAGCGCATTTCCTGCAGCATCATTAGGAACCACCTCTTTTAAATCAATGAACTCCTCGAGCGGAAGACAGGAAATGTTTTTATTTTTTTTCAAATCCCCTTAATCTAATCTTATCATCTGCCTTCAAGTGCCCCCCCACCATGTCCCTGCGAAGGACACGTGCCCATTTTGTTGCACCGTGCCTGGAATATTGCCACACATCTAACTGTTCTCCTGCCCCATCAGATGTCCCTGGTATCGGTACACCGTATTCGCCTTCCCTTACCTGGCACGCCGTCACCACCACCCTTACTTCGGCCTCCCGACCGCCCTACGGTGAGCCCACCCTTCCGCACCGCGGAGACGGACCCTTTTTTCCTTGATCATGACTCTAAAATTATTTTTGCAATTTAAAAAATTGTGGTGTGTTTACTGACTCACCGCCCGAACCCCCATCTGCGCTGTCCTTCCATCCACCTTGCCAGGCTCTGGAGTATCCGGTGGATGCCGACTCCTGTCCGCGCTGGTCCCGCCTCAAGCCTGTAGGAGTAACACTCCTCGACCTGCTCCTCCATCCCTCATCCGACTTCCCGCTGCTACTGTGCCTGTCATTGTCGTTGCGCTGCTCCCTCCCGTACTCACACCTGCTGATGCTCCTTCTGTGTTCCTGCTCCTGAGAACGCCCCCCAGGGGGCTCCCGCTTGCATCTGTGCCTTACGTCCATTTCCACCCGTCCATGTCCTCTCTTCTGCTCTCTGCTTGCAGTACATGGCCTCTCCCCAGCCGCCTCATCCACTTGTGGCCCCTTTAATTAATCCATCCAGGGCCGCCTCCGTCTGTGTCCTGCCGACCCTGACCCCCCCCACCTGCCCATTGGGGGGGGGACCGCTTTTACACTGCTGGCCCCTTGCATCATTCCCCCCGTCCCTCCGGTATGCCACCAGGGGCAGACTCACCAGGACGCCTCTTGCCGCTCTCCCTGCCTGGCGGCCATCATGTCATGCTGGATTCCGCTGTCCTTTGTACTTTCCCGCCCCCGGCTCTTAATGTACGGCCTCATCCTGGCCTGCCACCTTGCCTGACCGGCGCCGCGTCGAACATATGGCGCCAGCCGCCCTCCAACTCCTGCCTGCTTTCCGACCTCATTTTCAGCCTTCCCCTTGCCACCTCCTGACAGGCTCTTGGGCCGCCGAACTAACGATGTCACTCCCAGGCTGCCGCTGGGACGGCCTCGCTCTCCTTGCTGGCCTCCGATCCATCGCCACGTGGGGGGGTAGCAGATGTGCTTGGGCCCCCAGCTGCTCCTGCAGCCACCAGCCACGTTTCTGCCATAACCTTTGTGTCCAGGATGGTGGCTTGCTTGGAGTTCTGTCTGAGGCTGATGGGAGTGAGCATGCAGCAGCAGCAGCTCACTCCAGCCTCTCCTGTACCTCCATGCTGCCTCCTGTCTCAATACTGCTCTGTTCTTCTTTGCTGCCTCCATGCTGCCTGCTCTTCTATGCTGCCTCCATGCTGCTGCCTTCTCCCTCCAGGGCAGGCAGCTTTCACAACTGACAGGTAAGCTTAGGTTCAGTTAAAATGGCCACTTCATATAATGGCTGGTATAAATACTCCCCTTATGGCTCCACCCTACCCAGCATGCTAGCTGTCACTAAATTCCTGTGGCTGCTATGCCTACCTCCTGGCTCTGTCAAGGCCTATTCCTCTTAGCTGCGCTGATCCATGGGCTACATTACACAGAAAAAAAAAGCAGACTGATGTTCTAGCCATAAAAAGGGCTTTTTGGGGTGCTGTCCTTACAGCAGAGATCAGATGAGTCCTTCAGGACTGTAGAGGACACTGAATACACTAGCCTAGCTATCAATTTCCCTATCAAATCAGCAGCAGCTACACTGTCCCTCTTCTCACTAAGAATGCAGCTTCACAATGAATGTAAAATGGATGGGTCTGGGAGAAAGGGTCTGCTGCTGATTGGCTGGAATGTGTCTGCTGACTGTAAGGTACAGGGTCAAAGTTTACTCAATGATGACGAATAGGGGGCGGACCGAACAGCGCATATGTTCGCCATCTGCGGCAAACGCGAACAAGCGATGTTCGCCAGGAACTATTCGCCAGCGAACCGTTCGGGACATCACTACAGTTCAACTCCAAGAACTGTGACTTGCATATAAATCCAACATCAAACATACACCTACATGTTCCCTCTGGTTCCCATTTCTGGTTATTTGATATCAGTCTTTTGACAAATACAATAAAATATACCGTGCCATATGTATGAACAGCACCTAAACTGTAGATGGCGCTGTTTAGTTCAGTTTCTGTTTGTATATACCTGTGAACATGCTCATCTACTCACAGGAAAGGAGTTCTGTATTGCTCTCTCCCCCCTCCCTTATTCTGTTTGAGGGTAAAACAGCAAGGATTGAGAACAGCATACGTTATGCCTTGTGCTGCATTCTATTAGGCTTCCGGTGTCTTCCTGATACAGAACCAACAAATCTCTCACCATCCTGTCCAGCCTTCCAATATGACTATGTATCTATAGATCACTGAAAAGTAGCACTCGTGTCTGACTATACATCTAATGGCCATTGGAGTGGAACAAAAAAAAAACGACATTTATAAAAATAGGCACAGGGATTTGGAATAGAGCCACGTAACTTTTTTCTTTGGTTTTTACTGCATGTATTGGAGCTGATGTACTATGGTTATTGCTGCCACCCAGGAGTAGTG